CTTGAAGACAAACACAGAAGCTAACATCTTACAAGATCTTGTGTTTGGTCAAAGAGGATGCCATGCTGCAGATCATTTACAACATCTTTACTCTTCATACTTCAGACTTAACTGACTCTATCTATGAATTTATAGTCCTTATTTCCAAATAGCACTGTTATTCTATGGCATCCTTCCTTGAGGAAGACACCAAGTAATTTTTCAGCTTCAAATTTCAGAGCAGAATTCACTTGCAACTTAAGGCCAGAAAAAGCACTATACTCTCTTGTCTGAATGACTGGAAGGAGCAGTTTTACACATCTACCTACTCAGACTCAACAAGTTCTGTCTCAATACTGTTAATATACTTCAAAAGACTCTAGAGGTCCTTCAAGAAATGGAGGAACTCAGTAGTTCATAGCAGGGTTTTTTTTCCAGTGCTTAATCACCTTTGGCATAAAACACTCACAGCATGTTTGCTACTCACATTCGAAAATCTTGAGGTTTTTCAGCCTTGCACCTTTTTCTTAGTATATTACGGAATCCTATATGACACAGTCTCATCTATATTACGTTTCCTGTGAAGATCTCCCTGCAAGTTAGAAACCTTGATTCTAAAGTCTCTTGATCTGGAAGGCAGCCTCTCAGCCTCATACACCTTACTTTCAACTATCTGCCTTCAAGAGACCACTTTTTTTGAACAAAGATTGTTCATCCCATTTCTCCCACAGGCTGTTATCACCTGGGTCAGCTGACGTTGAGGAGTTATAGAAGAATTTAGTTGTATCTAAGGTCATATGAATTCTGTGCCTGAACTACTGGGTATCACCTGTCTACATCTTGTATGGTTGTTAACCAAAACATCATGGGGAGCTGCACAAGAAGCTAAGATACTACCATTTTAAATCTAGTGTGCAATACTAACTTCACAATATCAAGGTTTGTCTCAAGACACTGAGATAATTCTCACTGAAACAGCATCTAGTAGTGTTCAACAACCCATCAGACATTAAAATCAGATGCTAATTGCTAAATTTTTACTCCTGCCTTATTATTTATTACAGGTTCAAGAACCGCAGAGGAAAAAAACTCCAGTTTTGTGCTCTAAGGTAGTAGTTGATAAAATGTGGCTCTATTTATCTTTTTACTTAGCACTAATTTTTATAAAACATGGAAACCCACTTGGTTATCCAAAGCTCAGCAATATATAATTCTCCTATCTTTGAGGCAACTTTTGAACAGCTTTATTTAAGTAAATAGCACACATCAGCAGGATTCAAAGGTAGGAAAATAAAAGAATATAGTGATTACATACCCCACATTTACATATTCACCTAAATTAAGCAGTTATCACAATGGGAGAGGGATTTTACCACTCCAAGATTGACTAGTGTGCATCCAGACCAACACATTTCATAGCAATTGCAGATACAAACCAGTAAGTTATTCACTACATAAAGCAGACATTTATTTTCTCTTCTTAACTTAGAAGAAACTGGTTCAGGTTCACCAAGCATGATCTCTATATCAAACTGCAGTTTCAAATCAGTAAGACTGGTGCTACATCTGTCAGCAAATTGTACATGACTGTGTAGTTCAATAAGAATCTGACTAATAGATTGTGCCATCCTGTCTCAACAAAGGTTTTAGAGATCTCTCAGTAGGCCACCTTAATTGCAGCCACAAGCAATCTAGACATCTAATAAACTTGACATGACACAGATGATAAGAAGCTACATAAGCACAGTGAGAACATCAGGATTTTGTTCTGGCTGTTCATAACCCCATCTGCCTTGTAGTGAAACCGTGTAAAATGCCTACTGCTACTGCAGTCCTGGGAGTCCTGGAAAAACAGAGCATCTTCACTGTTATTTCAATGTGTGGAGCCTATCATCTTCCACACAACCTAAAAATATATTTCTCATACTGCACCATTATCTTGTTTTTACCTGTCACAATCAAACAGACCTCACTCAAAAGAGCCACAGATATCTCACACACCTTTACTAAACCTCAGCTTTGGTGATTATTATTGTTAGTAGTAGTAATAACTGGCTACTCAGAGCTGGACCATCTGTAAACCATAGTTGCACGAGACTGTGTCAGCAGTGTGCCCTGGCAGCCAGGAGGGTCCCCCATGTCCTGGGCCAAACACAAAAAAACCCAACTCACTCAGAGTTCAGATTACCGAAGAGAAAAAAACCTTGAATTTTAAAGAGACAGTTTCATATGAAGAGATGAAGCAAGATAAAATGAAGTTCAATATACCAGGATTTAAAAAACAAACCATGAAACTGGTAGGTGTTGTATCACTGAGCGTAGACAAAAGTCCAACAAGATTGTGCATTATTGTTATTTAAAAGGAATCTTGATATGGTTATATTATAGAAAATATAAATACAACTGAATTTCTACATAGCCTTCTTCAAGGAGTAAATATATATCACCGTTTGCTGTGATTTCAGTATTTGATTTCAACATAATATCCAGCAACTTCTGCAAGTGTCCCCACATATACATGTAACACAAATCAGTATTATACCAAACACCCCATCAAGACAAAGTTCTGGAAGTTTCAACGCAACTGAATTTTTATTTTCTTTCATCTGCGGAGTTTTAATTTAAGACGTTAGGCAACCCACAGAAATCTAAACTTCTTGAGAACAGTTTTCAACCTTTTGAACTAAACACAACCGAAAACATAAGAAACCACATATTGCCGTAAGAATCTGTGCCTGTTTTGGCTGGGATAGAGTTAATTTTCTTCACAATAGCTGGTATGGGGCTGTGTTTTGGATTTGTGCTGAAAACAAGGTTGATAATACAGGGATGTTTTCCTTATTGCTGAGCAGTGCCAAAGGCCCTTTGTGCTCCTCACCCCACCCCTCCAGAGAGGAGGCTGGGAGGGGACACATCTGGGACAGCGACCCCAAACGACCAAAGGAATATTCCATACCATACGTTGTCATACTCAGCATATAAAGCTGGGGGGAAGAAGGAGGAGATATTCAGTGTGGTGAAGCTTGTCTTTCCAAGTCATTGTTGCATGTGATGGAGCCCTGTTTTCCTGGGGATAACTGAACACCTGCCTGCCCATGGGAAGTAGTGAATTATTTCCTTCTTCTGCTTTGCTTGTGCAGATTTTGTCTTACCTATTAAACTGTCTTTATCTCAACCAAGTGAAATAAAAGTGAATTTTCTCACTCAACATACACCTGTTCTTAAATATATCCTAGCATCTAAACAGAGTCCCATCTATCACTTGTGGACTACCATATCTCACAGCAAAGTAGGTAAGAATTGTTACAAAGTAAAATTTCTAAAAAGAAACCAACCTTAAACTAACACTCTCCATCCCCTAAAAAACCCAAACAACCATGCACACAAAATACAGAACCCTCAGGACCACATTATGTGTAGTTCTGCACGTGCAGCGCTCTGTGAGCATGAGCTCCTCTCACAGACTTTCAAAACAGAAAGTCATTGGATGTATAATCTCTGCTTCTTTCATTATCATGTTGGCCTTTCTCATCCTGGCACAACACTGAAGTCAGCAACAGAAAGGGCTTAACATTTTCTTTTCCTCCCTCCATAAAAGGTTTTAATGGTACAGTCAAGTACTTTTACTCCAGTGCAACTCTTACATTTAATTACAAAAAACAGATATTTGTGGTTTATTCAATTACAATACAAATAAAATTTATATCTTGGTAAGCTGTAATAAATCTTTGGTCACTGAAACCAACACCCCCAATTGTTTAGGGGGAGCAGCCAGGGGGAGCGGCCCAAATAGTGTCAGCCATTAAACTCCATTTCTAATTAATATTTCCCTTACTGACAAGCATATGTGAATAAAGACATTGACCTTAAAAAAAAGGTGCTGATCTTTTTTTCCAGTAAAACCTCAAACTATTTTCTAAAAAATTATGTTGAGTTTAAAAAACAACAATAAAAAGTATTTCAAACCCCTCCATATCTCTATTGAGAGATACGTTGCTTTGAAACAATTACAAAAATGAAAATAATGTTGTGTTTTTCTGCAAGAATTAAGCTGTTTAATATCTGATTTGGCCAACAAACCCCCCAAACTAAGGAACTGCAATCTCATCTTAACCCCCATAACAATCCTGCCCCAAGCCATCTGATTCATCACAAAAAGGTGGAATAGCAGTCCTCGAAGCAATACTCTATTTAAAACCATTTGTTACTGATGTTTAACAGCTACAAATTATGCACTCAGCTGTTCTGGACAGAATAGTCATCTTATTGGTAATACATATTATGATAATGGTTGTACCTTTAGCCCTGTTATGAATTATTGGTACATAACCAACTAAAAAACAAAAAGCACCCCAAAACTCAAAAAAACGCACTTTCTCAGTTAGACCTGCCCCACTCTTCCTGGTAGAATGAAGTGCCTGCACTATGGCTTTCTGCTATTTTCTTCTCACTGACAATCAGACCCACCACCTACAAGCTGCTGACCATCCCATTTATTCTGTATTATGGCCCAGTATAAAATAAAAAGCTTCATTGTTCACTTGTAACGCAGACAGAACTCTGTCTTCAGCATCTTCAACCTAATTTTACAGACAGGAGCAAAACCAACCTTAAAGAGAAGCATCTAAACCTTCTTTTCAGTTTTTAAAAAAATGTATACAGTTTCACACAATAGAAATCCAACAGTTTTCATATATGCTATCAGCTGCAGAGGCTGATCAGATCACGCTGTAAACTCTCCCAATTGCGTTATTTCCTCCTGGGTGAGCATGTGGCATCCTTGTATTTCTCACTGTATTTTCTTTCCAATCTTAAGTCATCATTCCTTAGAGTTACTGAATAAAACATGCATGATTTCTAACTGAACACAGTAAAGACAGTCACTCAGCATGATCATTTTATCTTTCTCTGCCACACTACCAAAACAAGTGGTTCATTATTTTACCTTTGGTTTTACACAATTTGAGTGCTTTAGAATTTGGATCCCTCGTTTTCAGCTCTAGAGCCATGCATTCATTTACAAGTGCATGAACTCACTCTTCCCCAATACTCTTTCTTCCGGAAGACATCAATTTGTAATTCACATCCCCAAAGTCTCGAAGTAAAACAGTTACTCCTCCATTTATCACAAGAAAGCTGCATCTAAAACACAGAGAACACTACTTTTTATTTATATTTCCTTCAAAGTATCACTAGTTACAGTCAGCAAATAGCTCAAACACTAACTCTAGCTGATCTGTCTCACTCTCAAGTTGTTATCCTCGCATGAAGGATTCCAGTTTCAGGATGCTGGAACTGTCTGAAAACGCAAAAACCAGCCACAGCATGAGCATCCAGCTCTACTCAATCCTCCTTAAGAAACAGATATCACTTACAAAACATCTCTCTTTATTATTGCATTCTTCCTGAGCAAAGCCGTGTCTTCTAAAACATAAACCGAATGGACTGAAGTTTTGCTTGGATAAGCAGAAAGCTTTTATTTTATTCTTTGCAAGCACAGTACCATAATTATTTCAAAACTGAGCTGATTCACTTTAAATAAGCCAAGTTAAATGGTCACTAACAGCAAGTAAGCACACACGCACGTGCATACGGAGAAAAATGGTATTATCTTAAAATACTTTGTGATTAAAAAGCAAATTTTATTTGCTACTTCTCCCCCGCGCCCCAGGCAGGAACAGGCGGCAGCAGGACCCTCGGTGCCACGGCAGGTGCGGGGCAGGAGCTCGGGAGTGCTCAGCCCCGGACGCTCCGGGCACCCCCCGCCCCGGCCTTCCCCCTGCCGGGCTCTCCCGGCTTCCCACCGCCCGCTCCCGCTCCGGAACGCGCCTGGGCCGAGGGCAGCCGCGCCCAGGGCTGCCGCCACCACCGCCCCCCGGCTCCCTCCGTGCCCAGCCCCGGGTGCAGCGCGGCAGCCCCGACCCCTCCGCCCCCTCAGCGCGGCCTCACCTTCCCTCCTGCTCTCTGCCATGGCCCCGCGGCCCCGCCGAGCCGCCCGCCCCGCCCCCCGCAGCCCCCGCCAGCCTTCCTTCCCGTTGGCCGCCGAGCCTGTCCGTCAGGGCAAGGGCGCGGCGCTATTGGCGGAGGCTGCGTCAGGGGCGTGCCAGCGCTGCGGGCGGCCCCGCCCCCTCTCGCCCGGCGCAATGCGCGCGGGCTCCGGCAGGGGGCGCGCGGCTGCGCAGAGCCGGCGGG